AGGAAGAACTGCTTCATGGTAACAGTTTGTGGGGGCTGGGTGTGGAGGTTCATGCCTTAATCCCAGCACTTTGGGAGGCTAAGGCAGGAGGATCGCATGAGGTTGGGAGTTTGAGACCAGCCTGGCCAACATGGTGAAATCCCATCTCTCCTAAAAACACAAAAATTAGCCAGGCATGGTGACGGGCACCTGTAGTCCCAGCTACTCGGGAGGCTGAGGCAGGAGAATCGCTTGAGCCCAGGAAGCAGAGGTTGCAGTGATCCAAGATCACGCCACTGCACTCCAGCCTGGGTGACAGAGCGAGACCCAGTCTCAAAAAACAAAAACAAAAACAGTTTGTGGGAGAAAATCAGAGTCTGTCCTTAAACTCAATGGTTTTCCTCTGCTAATATTCTGGCTTCTCTTTTCAAATAGCCAAAGGTTTCAAGCAGTCTAGCTGTTGCCACCTTCTTATTAGACTTTAATAAGCTAAGCTTTCAAGCCACATAAAAATTTCATCAAGCATTTGCCAGCCTTAGGGAAAACGGAAGGAGGAAAAAAGGTCAGAACATCACTTTCCACCACAGTAGCATCTGGAGACAGACGCTTTGGAAGGATCCTGCATGCAGTCAGCCGCAAAATAAACGCTAGGAAACAAGCTCGCTGTTTGTGGCCTGCACCAGATGGCGATTACGTTTACTCCTTCATCACCCGGAGGCCCCACACTGGGTGCTAATTAAAGCACTATCTTCCAATAGCAGGCTCCTGGGACAACTGTGAGCCTCTGTTCCAACGTCCTCGGGTGTGCTGCACGCAGTCCACTACTACAGGCTTGCTGTCAAGAACACCACTTCACAGCAGCTCCTTATCATTTTACTTTCACTGTTTCATATGTCAACATATTTTAAAAACAAATCTTTAGTTTAGTTTTTTTTTTTTTTTTTAACTATTACATGTTATAGGAGGGAAAAGGAGGTGGGCTATCTGGGGTCCTCAAGACATGAGAAACCGGTGGGGGGTTCCAAGCTTCCTTACTTCCCCCATAGATCCTTGACAATGTGCTGCAGAAGCCTCCAACCTGGAACTGCCAACAGGACCAGAGCACCCCCACCACCCCGCCCCAGAAAAAGCCAAGAAAAGCCCAACTCCTCTAGCCAAAGTACCAGGAGAAGAACGGCCTAACATCAGAAAACACCTGCGGTAACGCTCATTCTACTCCAGCCAGGTGCCAAAGGAAAAATCACCATCCCCCTCCCGCCCTGGTCTCACAGAGCCCGGTGGGAACAGGCTCTCCCAGCCCACTCCTCAGGAAGGAAACTGTGCACACTGGTCTAATTAACATCCAGAGAACACGCCACCCAACAGCAGAATATTTTTTCCAAGCACCAAAGAAACACTGACTAAGACAAACCACATCCTAGATCATAAAACCTCAAGAAACAGAAGGGGACTGAAATCATAGAGTATTTCTCTGAGCATAATGGAATCACACTAGAAATCAGTAACACTAAGATAACAGTAAAATCTTGGCAGGGCACGGTGGCTCACACCTGTAATCCCAGCACTCTGGGAGGCCGAGGTGGGAGGATTGCTTGAGGTCAGGAGTTCAAGACCAGCATGGGCAACACAGTGAAACCTCATCTCTACCAAAAAATACAAGTTAGCCAGACATGGTGGCATACGCCCATAATCCCAGCTACTCGGGAGGCAGAGGTAAGAGAATCACTTGAACCCGGGAGGTGGAGGTTGCACAGAGCTGAGATCATACCACCGCACTCAGGAAAGGAATAAACATAATGAAGGAGTAAACGTAATCGCCATAGGGTGCAGGCCACAAACAGCAAGCTTGTTTCCTAGCATTTATTTTTAGTAGAGACGGGGTTTCACCGTGTTAGCCAGGATGGTCTCGATCTCCTGACCTCGTGGCTTGCAGTCTGTATTTTGTTTTGTTCAACCTCTTAACAAGGTCTTCGAAAAGCAAAAATTTCTACTTTTTATGAATTTTATTAATTTTTTCTTTTATGAATTGTGCTTTTGGTGTCAAGTCTAAAAACTCTTTACTTATCCCTAGATATCCCAAAGATTTTCTACTATTTTTCCTGAAAGGTTTATATTATGTTTTACATTTAAGTCTGTGATTAGTTTATTTGAAGCCTTTGCTGTTTTCTAAAGTAAGAATTAAGGGCTATAAATTCTCTCTCAACACTTCTTTAAGGCTGTGCCTCACATATTTTGACATGCTATATTTTCATTTTCATTCAGTCCTATGTATTTTTTTCTTTTGAGATTTCTTTTATCTATACATCATTGAGAAGTATATTGCTAAATTTCCAGTAGTTTAGAGATTTTACTTTTTTTTTCTCCTTTTGAGAGAGGGTCTTACTCTGTCACCCAGGCTGGAGTGCAGTGCCACGATCACAGCTCACTGCAGCCTCTGCTTCCCAGGTTCAAGCAATTCTCGTGCTTCAGCCTCCTGAATGGATGGGGACACAGGCGCACGGAACCCTGCCCAGCTAAGTTTTTGTGTTTTTAGTAGAGATGGGGTTTGCCATGTTGGCCAGGCTGGTCTTGAACTCCTGACCTCAAGTGAACCATCCACCTTGGCTTCCCAAAGTGCCGGTATTACAGGTGTGAGCCACTGCGCCCGGCCCGTGATTCCACCTATTTAACATTCTTGAAATGACAAAACTATAGAGATGAGAAACCGATGAGTGGTAAATTAGGGAAGGGGTTTGGTTATAAAAGAGCAGCACAAGGGACCGTTGTGACAGAACTGGTCTGTATCCTGACCGCGATGAGCAGCACAAGGGACCCTTGTGACGGAACTGGTCTGTATCCTGACTGTGGTGTTGGTCTCGTGAATGTACACATGCGACAAAACTGCACAGACTAAAGACAGACACACACACACACAAATAAATACAAATTAAACTGGAGAGGTGGGGAGATTTCAGTGTATTCAGGAAGATCAGTGGATTGTATCCATGCCAATTTCCAGGTTATGATACTGACCACAGTTATACAAGATGTTATTACTCAGGGAGAAAATGAGTAAAGGGTATAAGAGACCTCTTTGTATTTGTATTATCTCTTACAAATGCAAGCAAATCTACATTTTCCCGAAATGCATATAACCTGAAACTAATCATGAAGGGACACAAGACATCAGATAAACTCAAATAGAAAATAATTGATCTGTACTCTTCAGAAACGTCAATGTCATAAAACCAAGTAAGAAGAGACAACTGAATGCAAAATCCAATGAGCTCCAATCAATCCAGGATTTTCTCTGCTATAAAGGTCATTATTGAGCCAGTTTTACAAAACCCAAGAAAGGTCTATCAATCAGATAATGTATTATATCAATGCTAATTTACTGATTTTGATAACCACACTATGGTTATGTAAGAGAATGTTCTTGTTTTTAAAAATATATAACAAAGTATTTAAGGGCAATATGGCATCATATTTCAAACTTACTCTCAAATAGTTTTGTTAAGGTATATATACAAAGGCTGAGGATGGTGTTTACACCCATAATCCCAACACTTAGGGAGGCCAAGGCGGGAGGATCGTTTGAGCCCGAGTTTGAGAGCAGCCTGGGCAACACTGCAAGACCTGGTCTGTGCAAAAAATTAAAAAGTTAGCCAGGCATGGTGATGCATACCTTTAGTCCTAGCTACTCAGAAGGTTGAGGCTGGAGGATTGCTTGAGCCCAGGAGTTGGGGCTGCAGTGAGCCATGACTGCCACCACACTCCAGCCTGCGCAAGGCCCTGTCTCTTAAAAAAAATTTTTTTTTAATTAAAAAAGTATAGATACATAGAAAAGAAAATATAGTAAAACATTAACAGCTGTAGAATCTGAGTGAACGGAATACTTGACACTTATCTTGCACATTTTTGTTAAGTCTAAAATTACAAATACAAAAATTATCAAAATAAAAAATATTAAAAGTGCACATGCAGAGCCTGGCACATAAAGCTTCAATAAAGTACAGTGTTTGGGTATTTTATATCTACTTTCAGATGAAGAAAGAAGTTGAGATGCTAAATAAACTGTCCGTCAGGGATGAGGGATCATGGGACACCGGCGGTACAGGAGGGATGTGAGCTGAGACCGGTTCCATGCCAAAGTCTGTGCTGCTTCCACTAGAAAGAGGAAGGATAAAAATCCCAGTGTCCCTGTCCCCACAGGGATTTGAATGTACTGTATTAGGAGGAGATAGTGTTACACAAAAATTGGTTTAAACCACTCTCCAAGCAAGTCACTTCTTAGTTTTCCACATGCAAAGTCTAGGATAGGGACCTAACAGCCCAAACCTCGCTCCTAGGGTGGGTATTCTGTCCACAGCACATCAAACAAACGTAAGTTACAAACTGAGAGCCACCGTCTCCAGGCCCTCGTACCAGGGAAGCACACTGCTCTTCCTAGGTTTATTCACTCAACCCAAATTCCCTGAGCACCTCAGATGTGCTGTCAACGGAACTTCTAGGATGACTATCCAGAGAAATGTGTTCTGTTGGTCCTCCCCACTCACCCTTACCAACTATGTCTGAGCTTGGATGACAGAGGTTTTTCACTGATTTCGTCTTCTAAATAGACAATACTTTCCCAGTTCAAAATTCACATGGGAAAGAATTTCACACAGGAAGGGTTTCGTAGTGTGAAGTCTCCCTAACCCCCCTCCTAGTTCCCATTTCCAGACACATCCAAAGTTACTAGTTTAAAAATGCAACTATGTGATATTTCGCCAAATTAATAGAATTATCTAGATAACACTATGATATCAAGCTATCTACCCGAATAGACTATTCTAGGGGATCACAACAAATGTAGTACCCTTTAGGTTATTTTAAATATCCCTTAAATACTTGTGTAGACATTTTCAACATATTAAAATGACTGAGTAAGGTAACAACATTTTTAAAAAGAAAAAACATGTTAGTAAGATGCATGGACACGACAGATGTCTGTGAACTCTGGCTGGTAAGAACCAATCACTGTTGAGTACTGAGCTCACCTGGTTCCTGTCGCGTGCATTTGTGTACCTGATCTTCTGAATGAAGTAGAATATGAGCCATGCTGAAGAAATAATCATCAAAACAATAAAGGATATTGACACGAAGACTAGAGAGCCACGGCTGAAGTTCTTCGGTGGCATTCGAGTTCCAACAGCTATTGTCATTTGTACAGAGATGTTTTTCTCCAGATAACTCAAAATATCCTTACCCCTCAATTCTGTTATCATGACAGCAATAATATCTCCAGTGCCTGTAATATAAAATAAATATATAACTCAAGTGACATTTAAAATTTATAGAAACATCAAATACATAAACACACTACTTAGGTAACTACCGTAATATCTGGTAATGGAAAGGGCATGGGAACTCCACTTCTCAACTGAAATGAAGCTGCAGCTGGGTATGCTGGCACCAAGTGGGAACATGTAATTTGTTGTGTGGTACTTAAGACTTAAACAGACATAAGGCATAGAACGATTGCAGTGTTAAGAACCATATTAACTTGTCTGACAACTACATTTAAAAAAGAGTATTAAACCAACCAAATGTGACAACAGACAGCAATATAACATTATACAGCAACAGAAGTGTATCAACATCATGGTAGATTTACACTGTAAAATCTTTTCTATTTTAAAATGATCTTCAGAAAGTCTTAATTCCTTAAGAAATGGAGTAAAGTGCTGTTTTTATAGCATAAATTGGTACTTCTTGCACTAATCTAGGAACATTCATGGAGCACCCACTGTCTGTAGAACTAGTGCAAGGAACAAAAACAAGTACAGGATACCACGCTTTCTAATCTCACCGAGACGCAGGACACACAGCTAGTAACAGAACTACAAAGTGCCAAATGGTGGTACCTTTTATTAGTGACATCTGAAACTAACTTGGGTCTTACGTTCAGACTTGAGTGGAGCGAGGCTCCTTGCTAGTTTACCCCAGAACTCTTCTGGAAATCAAACGTTCCAGAGACAGGTCCAGGCTTTAACATTCTGGACTAGTTTGGCATCAAAACACCTCCAGCCTCTAACAGTTGTCCAGAAGTCTGCCCACAGTCACAGGCTATGTAAGTTAATTACGACGATGGTCTTAAGTTGCTTTATAGTTACCTAGATCTTTCCGCTATATAATTTCCAGAAGTAGTAACATTAGAGGAATTGAATATCTATTCCTATGGACAGCAGGAAACTGCTATCCCTTTCCTCCTCCACAAAATAACTTCCCAGTGTCTTTTAAGAAAACAGAGAAACTTCTATCAATCTATCAGCAACTGTCCTTTCACAAGCTGAAGCTGCCAGTGGCAACATATAACTTCTACATTTGCCTTCTCCAGAGAGCCCCTAAGAGGGACTAGGGGTCATTAGAAGGGAAATAAATATTTTATTTTGGGAAAGATAAAATTATAACCACTTATTTGAATCTGAATAAGGTTTGTACATACAAATGTAAACCAACAAAACAAACAAGCGAAAGTCCCCAAAACTTGTCCTTTTCAATGTTTCTTCAATGAATAACACATTGAAATACTTTGGTTTTACATGTTTCATTTATCATATTTAGCTAAAAGAACCACTGTGTTACATGCAGTCACAGAAGACTACATGCAACTGAAAAATTCAACAAGGCTGGGTGCAGTGGCTCATGCCTGTAATCCCAGCACTTTGGGAGGCTGGGGCAGGTGGATTGCTTGAGCTCAGGAGTCCAAGACCAGCCTGGGCAACACGGCGAAACCCTGTCTCTCACAAAAACAGGAAAATTAGCCAGGCATGGTGGCACGTGTCTGTGTTCCCAGATACTCAGTACTCCTCCTCATACTCCACCCCTAAAGCCTGAGGTGGGGGATCACTGGAGTCCAGGAAGTTGAGGCTACAGTGAGCTGAGATCACATCACTGCATGCCAACCTGGGTGACAGAGTGAGACCCTTAAAAAAAAAGAAGACAAATGTAACAGTAAAAGGAGTTTTACAGAAAATGTAACCCAGTGGAACATATGCCTTTTTACTACCTTACTCAAAAAATTCTTACAGCCACTTTATTAGAAGAGCAGTTTATCAGAATACTGATTAAAAATCCACAAAAAAACTATAAAATTAAAGCAAGCAATAAACATCTAATTAACATCTAATTACCTTCCTGAAATAAGAGTTTTGATCAGTAAGTTAGAGACAATCATAAAATAATGCTAAGCCACTTTAAATTTCCCTTTAGAAATCTCTTTTAAAATGTTGTTCAACAGGCCATGATCTGTGGTATAAGATACCAGGTATGGCTATAAAGTAACTGAGACGGATCCCACAAACAACATATGACAATCAGTCTCATTGCTTTATAATCACACCAGGTACAAATGGTTTTAGAAATCAGTTGAGGCTCCCTCTTGAAGACTCAAGCTGGAAAAGGAGTAGGGAAAGCTGAACAGGTAGCCAAAGAAACCAATCCATGTAATTCTATTCAAAGAACACTAAATAAGAACACCAACTAATTTCAACAGGGAAGCTGTTTGGGAAAAGAAGTGTGTAATTATTTCAACCATCCATTCAACAATATTTACTGAACACATACTATGGTAAGGCTCCTTTCACCTCTTAAAGAGAGTAGAAAATTACCTGCTCTTGATGCAAAAATCCACGTGCCTTCAGGAGCAAAGGGGAACCTTTCGGACTAGGGAGAGAAGCCGCTCGCAGTGGCGTCCTTACAACAGCACAGACAAGAGCCGGGCAGAGGAGCCCGACCCTGCCGACCAGGCAGGAGGACAGCAGAGAGGCCAGCAGAACGAAAGTCCACCACCGACACTTGCAAAGGACTGGAGTGTTAGCCATTTTAGGTCTTAAATCTCTTACAGAATCTGGTGAAAGTTATATAGGAGTGCCCTCCTAGGAGAAAGGGCCTTCTCCCCAAACTCCACCCCTAAAGCCTGATAGGGTTCAAAGACCCTGACCTAAAGCTGCCTCAGACACTTGACTTTCAAAGATCTGAGGAGCTCTGGCCCAGCTTCAGGAGGGATACACACCCCAAAGGAAATGTAGGCATCAGAATAAAGGCCCAGTCAGAGCAGGCAGCGATTGATAAGAGTTAAGAATAATTAGACGGTAGTGCGGTGGCTCACGCCTGTAATCCCAGAACCTTGGGAGGCCGAGGCGGGCGGATCACGAGGTCAGGAGATCGAGACCATCCTGGCTAACACAGGGAAACCCCTTCTCTACTAAAAACACAAAAAATTAGCCGGGTGTGGTGGCACGTGCCTGTAGTCCCAGCTCCTCAGGAGGCTGAGGCAGGAGAATGGTGTGAACCCGCGAGGCGGAGCTTGCAGTGAGCTGAGATCGCACCACTGCACTCCAGCCTGGGTGACAGAGCGAGATTTCATCTTAAAAAAAATAAAAAATAAAAATAGGCCAGGCGCGGTGGCTCAAGCCTATAATCCCAGCACTTTGGGAGGCCAAGGCGGGCGGATCACGAGGTCAGGAGATCGAGACCATCCTGGCTAACACAGTAAAACCCCGTCTCTACTAAAAAAGACAAAAAAATTAGCCCAGCGTGGTGGTGGGCGCCTGTAGTCCCAGTTACTCGGGAGACTGAGGCAGAAGAATGGCATGAACCCTGGAGGCAGAGCTTACAGTGAGCCAAGATCGCGTCACTGCACTCCAGCCTGGGCAACAGAGCGAGATTCCGTCTCAAAAAATAAATAAAAATAATTAGACTGTAACACTGTAAGTATCAAAGCATATTTGGGACATGCCCCACCACTCCCATGTCCCAAGCCCTGGGCAAACACTGCTGAGCGCGGTGGCTCATGCCTGTAATCCCAGCACTTTGGGAGGCCCAGGCAGGCGGATCACAAGGTCCGGAGATCAAGACCATCCTGGCTAACACGGTGAAACCCCATCTCTACTAAAAATAGAAAAAAATTAGCTGGGCGTGGTGCTGGGTGCCTGTGGTCCCAGCTACTCAGGAGGCTGAGGCAGGAGAATGGCGTGAACCTGGGAGGTGGAGCTTGCAGTGAGCCGAGATCGCGCCACTGCAGTCCAGCCTGGGCGACAGAGTGAGACTCCGTTTAAAAAAAAAAAAAATCTTTGAGGGTCCAGAAGGACTGCTGCTGAGGGAAGAGTTAGGTGTATTCAGGGTCAAGCTGGGCATGGGGCAGAGCCCTGGCTGCCTGTGTCTCCATGGGTCCTGCTGGCTCCTGCTCCCAGGAGTTCTCATCTCACTCCACTGACTTAATGAAAGTCCTTCTCAAACGTTTATCCACAATACTTTCAGTGCTTCATACCCAGTCCCCATTTTTCTCTTCACTGATCCCTTAAAGAACTCAAGGGGGAAAAACAAACACATTCTACATTCTTTTATGAAATGAATATAGCAATAATTCTGACAGATGGAGGTTATATCAATTATAGATTTCCTGCTGAGACTTGTCAGTTTTCCTAAAATATAGATTTGCCCTGTCACTCTGCTTTGAAAAGCCTTTGATGTATCCCTTCTGTCAAACAAATAAAGTCCAAACTCTTTCACTGGACACTCAAGCACTGGGGAGCCAAACGGCCCTGAGGGTAAGTGAGACACGGGACGGTGAACCCTCTCTGACCCAGTGAAACTGTTGGGCAAAGTGACTGGAATAGTGGTTCATGCAGTCTAGGCAGGACGGAGAGGTGAAGCCAGGAGGGAAACTGGGAGAAAACTAAGAAAGGGTCCGGGAACTGGAAGCTTCAATAAAACTAAATGACAGTTTTACTGAAGACAGGGGGAGAAAGGGAAGAGGCACTGGTCAGGGCACAGGACACAGGAGTTTGCAACTCGAGCTGTAACAATCCTGGGAGATGATGAGGCCCAGGGAGCAGCTATGGGTCCAGGCTCCTGGAGAAGTAGAATGGCTGAAGGGTCTGTGGAAGGAATCTCTGGTTAGGTGTTCACTTTCCAGGTGGATTCTGAAGCTGCCCAGGATGGTGGCAGGACCTCTGATGAACAGGGAGCAGTGACAGGAGGGGAAGCACATGACTATGGAGAGGAGGAACACGGTCTGCTGCACAAAACTGAAACTGAAGTCTCCCCATGTGGAAGTGACTGGTTTGGATGTGCTGTACACCACCACCACAGTACCCCTTAGTGCCCACAGATGCACAGCAATGACCAACTTATAATTTTGCTAATGCTTGAACCTGAACCTCCTGCCATGTGGCTGTTGGGAAGCCGAATGTGTAAGCTACTGAGTGGTAGTCACTCACTGATAATTCCTGAGGACACTGGGCT